AGCTGTGTGACTGAGCCACAGCCCCCAGAGGTTGCCCTTACATCCCCCTTGTATTCCTTGACACTCATCCATGTTTTGCCAGTGTTGTAGGTAAGATATCACACAGTGTAGTCCTTTTTCTGATGATCATTGTTGACATGGCAGTCATAGAAGAGGTACTCCAATTCTCTAAAATACTGGGCTAGTTCTCACACTTTCTCCTCATCCCATTTAGGCATGGTGTCATGGCCTCTCATTGGCATTAATCAGGTATTATCCTCCATGGCATAAAGTGGTTCAATCGGAGTGTTTGGCTTGGTGGGGATTAGTTTGGCTATTTTGGAAACTTGGCAATAGTCAGGAGTGTGAGGTTGGGAAAGCGCTGATTGATATTCAGAGCTAAGAGGAGTTAGCAGGCTGAGTAACTTTGTCTCCCTTGCTCTTCTTATAATAATCACTGACTTCCTTTTGTAGATTATTTGTCTCATCATCTTCACTCTCACTTCCACTGTTGCCATAAGATTCATTGCCATCATTGACCAGAATGTCTACCAGCTCATCTGATTTTTTTGTGACTTGGAAAGTGGAGCAATAGATTGGATTACCCCATTCAAACAAATGACAAGCCATGGGAGAGCAGGAAAAGGATCAGGGGCTGTATTCTGTAGTTCACCATTGAGGCAGATTGTGAGACAAGGTATAGCCTTTTCTGCAATGTGGGTGTCCTATTTGTACCTTTATTAATACTATTAATACTGTACTTGAAGTAGTCCAATGATAAATTAATGAACTCACCAGATTTGATTCTTTTGACTGTGCAATGGGTACAAATGTTTCTTCAATCCAAGAAAACTCTTTCATTGCCTTAAGAACATTATAATGTTTTGGTCTTTGGTAAAGAACAGAGAGATGAGTCTTTATAGCATGGAGACAGTGCCAAAAACATAGGTGATGCTTTGTGTCAGAGAAGACAGCTCCACAAGCATTGATCTCTGAGAAATTCTTATTTGTAAGAGTAATAATGGGCTCTAAAGCCCATTTGTGTTTGGAGTGCTTCAAAAATTCTGTGAGGAACTGTTCCTCTGCCCCTGGGTCCCCATCACTGGAATGTAGAATTAGATATCCAAGAGGACATCCAGATCCATAGACCTCTCCAAGCAAGACAAAGACCTCAAAGATTGAAGCATTAGTGTTGACTATATGATCAATGTCAATTATGGTGAGCCACAATATGAATAAGAAGGGCCCACAAGTGGAATCAAGTGAAATCTCACGTATCCTATCCTTCCATGACTTTAAAAGTCCAGGAAGAGCTAATGCAATACCAATACAACCATTCTCCTTGTGAACATGAATTGATTGGACCATATAGAGTGGATTTAAACTTGCTGCAGTAAATCTCTATGAGCATGAACTCATCCCCTTAGATGACATTCTAAACTGGGCATGATGAATGTGGACAACATGGACAACATCCAGAAACAAGATTTTTTCCAAGTCCATCATTATTTGGAAACCAAACAATATTTGATCTACTGACAACAAATATGCATACAGCTGTAAAGCAGGGTGATCATGTATAAAGTCATGGATATCTTCTGGAACATCAATGCACCAATATGGAATGTGATCAATCCTCCTGATGCTTCAATTTGATGAGTGCTACAGAAGAGCCCTCCATAATGGTAATGTGAAGCCACCCATGACAGTTGAATGCATACATAGAATCCTTGTCTCGATGATTTATGCCTTCTTTGGTTGACTTTTTTTATTTGTGTTAGTACTCATCATTTTGTGCACAGTGATACATGAAGCATGTTGAAGGAGTTCTTTTGTGATGGTATAAGCTGTGGTAGCTATGATGTCTAAGCACAAATTACAGATATATGGATGTCAAGAGAGATAATGTCCTCAGTTTCAGCAAGATCTTTAAGTGACTGCAAGAATGTTTTCAACTCTACAACAGGAAGATCAGCCAGCAGGTCAATGGAATCATCAGTGTGGTCCTGATCTGATATCTTGTTCTCCTTTTTGGCGGAAGCACGCTGTCTGTCAGACAGCTGTTGCTGTTTCAAGCAAGAAGAACAAGTTTTTGAGAATCCATTAGACATCAGATTAAAATTTGATGCATCAACCAGTAGTGTACGCCGACACTTGCTACATTTCTGATGAGTGGGCCCTGTAGTACTAGAGCTCATTTCGATGCCAAAAGATCAAGAGAAGACATCAGACTGATTGAACCCAGAGGTTTACGAGAAATTGACGCGTTGATGTGTCAAGGAACAGAAAAACACGAACTCTTATTCTAGAAATTTCGCCAAATGGTGTATTGATAGGCGAGTACGAACCACAACATATGATATTCCGTCAAATGCTGTTCACGCTTGATTTGCGCATCACTAAGTGTTGGGAAGTCAGCAATATCCGAAGGTCACATGCTGCAAAGAACCTGCTGGGTCAATAGCATACACTGGTTATTTGCAGTAGGGCCTCCGCTCACTCGGACCCCTCAACAAGCCTGAGACTGTTAGCTCGAAAGGGAAAAAATGAGCCTATCGTGTACATTAACCAGTAAGTCTTTTGAAGGTCAAAAGTCAGAGCGTGTTTTCCGAAATCTAAGAAAAAGAAAAACCGGTTCTGTGCTGGTCCACAAACATTTCTATACGCGTGACGTGAGTACATGTCAGTATCGATTCATAATACCTTGAGCAAGAGAAAGGCCTGGATAAAAAAAAAAGAAACAAGCCATTCAGAAACAGGGAATCTCTCTGCCTGGGAGTCGAACCCAGCTTTCGCGCGTAAACGTTGATGACAGGCGCGTGTACTAGCCGATATACTAGCAAAGATGTTATAATAGGGAGCTTTGTTAAAGTTCATATACGGATCGACTTCGACAACCAACCAGAATTCAACCATCAAGCCGGACGAAAGGTAATTTCATCGTCCAAAATGATCTTACCATCAACATCCTTCGAATACACATACCTCTTATTATGCACGACCGCCATCCACTGATCCCGCGACTTCAAAACCTTCAACGCCTCTTCATGCAACCCGAGAGCTCTGCACGCGGTCGCCAACGCCTTTACCTGGATATCAAATGCCGGAATATTGTACAGCCCCGCTTTGTCAATTCGCTGCATATTCTCGATCACCCTCACGAACAGCTCTTGAGGATCGGGTTGCGGATCGGGGAATTTGAAGAATAGCTCTTTCTCGTTGTGTGGCGGGAGAGCCTCGACGTCTTGGAGAATCCGAGCCAGCTTCCATTCGTGCTCGGGATAGTCAGAGCATGCGGGACAGGTGCAAGTGAAGCCCCAGGGAGCAAGAGCTTTCTGGCGGTCTTCATAATCCATTGTGTTGTCGATATAGGAAATGGTGATCTCCTCGCCTGGGTCGATGACGTCTCGGAGGCCGTATAGTTTGGCAGTGAAAGATTTATTGCAAAAGACAACGGCGGCATTTGGTGTGCAACTACACGATGAATCATCAAATTAGAGGCGTGAGTTAGATAGGAGCGATCGACAAACCTGTGATTGACGCGTGAAATCTGGTCTGACACCATTATATATTGTAGATCCTCGTCGTTACCCATCAGACCACGCCCAAGGTCAATTGGAATTCCATTCGTCTCACGTATACCTAACAAAGGCCACAATTCCGAATCATTCTGGGAATTGTGAAGAGCGAGATACTGCGCTTGGAGCTCTGGAGGCATACGGTTGAAGGCGACTCTGAGGTCCTTCTTGAACTCCATCCGTTCCACCAAGAGCTCTTGCTCGAGCGTGGGCTGGCTTGTAAATGTGACGCTAACACGAGGCCTCGCCGGTGATATGAGAAGGGGTCGTTCGCAGATGATAAGCTCGCTAAGAATGAGATCTTGTGCTGCGAAAACACTAAGCCCACCATGGGAGGGAGCAAGATGATGGCGGGGCTTTTTCAGCCTCGGACGAAATGCGGGAAAGCGATCGTCAGAGAAGACAGCACGCTTCGGTTTGTGCCCATAGAAAAGACATTCTGTGGTATCTTCTATGATCTTTTCACCTTGTTGAGGAGGAGGGAGAGTTGTATATATGCGCGTTTCATAAGGAGAATTGGGATATATCAATTCGGTTGCTAGAAGTGCTCTTTCGCTTGTACGGTATCCTGGGAGATCTGACAGTATATATTTCAGCCGAAAAATAGGAATGTGGGCCCTTCCAACGTACCTGACCCGGGTTTGTTAGGGTAATGTAGTGTTAAGAGTTCACGTGGAGCCTTTGGTGTTAATTCGAACGCTTCAAATCCTGGAATAGCGTATGACGCTGAAATAAAATGTCACGGCAAGGAACAAGATTCTAGTGATTGGACCTGCCAAGTCTATTTGAACGCACTACCGAAGCACTGTGCAAGGCCTTCTTCAGAGCTCTCACCAGGCAAGTTCTTCGAAGTCCGTGCAAAGTAGGCGTCCTAAGACAAATAGCCATCTGGACCTCACCGCCTGAAATAGAGTCTATTTGTCCTTCTAGTGGGAACCTGAATAGCACAAGGAGTTCCGAAACCTCAAACCACAGGCCACAAGACTTGATAGCCGGCCAGGGCGAAAGAGGATAGCGGAGGAAGTGACGTGTCTTGTGGCGGAGGTGAAGAGTAACAGAGGCTTGTTCGCGAAAAAAAAAAAAGAGTTATGGGTCGAGAGTCAAACTTGACACGCGTGATTCGAGAATGAATACGCCCCACAGACGGTCACGCGACCAGGACGCCTTGAATTCTGATTGAAATCGATTAAGTCGCTGAAGAGTCGTGAAAAGATTCTCTAAGTATTATCTACTTGTTAAGTACATTGTGTCGAACATTTGAATTGTACAATGATGATGCTTAAAGTGGACGAAGGGAAACTTCTTCATTCAACAATAACTCACCGTCTGCGTCTCTCGAGTAAACAATCTCCTTACCGCGTACCGCACGAGTCCACTTCTGTCGTAGATCTAAAAAGCGCATCACGGTTTCATCATCTCCAAGATGCCATGCCGCCGTCGCTACCGCCTTCAACTGCGCGTCGTATGACCCTGTAATCTGCAATCCAATGTCCTCAATAAGCTTTAGTCTCTTCTTCGACGTCTCGAGGAACTTGGTGAAGTCAGGCTGAGGATCAGGAAAGACATAGAAAAGTTCTTTGTCTTTGTACTGGCTTGGAAGATTGAATTGGTTCATTAAGAGGGTTACTATCTTAACGACATTTTCTGGATCGAGACAAGCGGGACAAGTGCATTTGAAGTTGTAATGTGCGAGAGCTTGATGTCGCTGTGGAGGAGGTGTAGTAGACCGGCAATAGCTGATGAACACTTCTTCGCCTTCCTTGATGTCGCGTATGGCATGGAGCTGGGCAGAGAAAGAGGAGATGGAGAAAGTAATGGCAGCATTCGGGATGCAGCTGCAAGAGAATCAGTGATTGTTCATCAGATTGGAATTCTATGCACCTGTGGTTTACGCGCGAAAGCTGATCCATAACCATAGCGTACCGGAGCTCTTCGTTACTGTTCTCTTCATTCATTTCGTCTAAATCAAGCGGGATAGAGTTCGTCTGGGATATACCCAGAAGTGGTAAATCTCCCATATCTGTGGTGCTATTCGCCAATGCGAGGAAAGCAGTCTGGCGCTCCGGCTGCATACGGTTGAATGCAACGCGAAGGTCCCTCTCAATTTCGACAGAGATGGCGCGGTCTTTTTGCTCTTCTGAGACTTCTTCGTCCGTTGTCAAGACAACGTTTTGACTGGCCGGAGAGATCAGAAGAGGTCGCTCAGCATATATCAGGTCACCGAGAGGCGTCGCAAAAAGACCAAGGCCGCCAAAGGAAGGTGCAAGTCGATAACGAGGTTCGTGCAGTTGTGGAACAGAGCTAGGAAATTTAGAATTGGTGAATATGGCACGTTGGGGCTTGTAACCAGAGAAAAGGCATTTGGTAGTGTCTTCGACGGCAGTTCCTGTGAGAGGCAGCGTCGTGTAGACATATACGCCATCCGCGTAGTCTGTGTAGATCTCTTCTGATGCTATAGGTTTTCTGTCATTTGTAGAATATTCGGGACAGTCTATAAAAGGTCGACCAGTCGCAGGTAAGGTCGACGCTTTTGAAACGAAAGAAAATAGTGAACAGAAAAACGTATAACTCACCGCTAAGGGTGGATGTTCCCCTTGAGCTGTGACTCTTAGCTAAGTAACCGCAGGTCCTCAAGCATGAGCTTCGAACTGAATTGAAGGGTAATTGCGAAGACCTTGACCGGAGTATTGTAAAAAAATGTTCATAATTCACAAAATCTGCCACTGAGATACTAGCGCTGCAAGTCAAGCTTATTTCTGTAAGCTTCAGAAAATGATAGAAACGTACTAGCTTTCTAGTGAAAGAGCACAGACGTACCTCGTAGGGGGTTAAGAATGTAATTGAACAGGCGCCGGTCCATGAAAAAAGTCAGAATCTGAACTTCAGCGACGAAAAGTCATACCACGTGCTACGTGACATTCGCGTATCAGTGTCTAAAGTAATTTGGAAGTAACAACCTGAAGACTCAAGTATTAAAGGGCTTGATCTTCTCTCCAGAGTCACAACGAAGTGCTATTAAGTGATGAAGAGACTGAGCGGCCACTGGCGCTTTATCAAGCTAGTCAACACTGTCTTGGAACCTCGTGGCCTAGTTGAAGGGTGGCATATATGGGTGACTCTGATACTGTCCCGGTGTCGGACATCTGTAGCGCAGAATTGACATTATTCGGCAGGTAGTGACCATCACAAGTCGAATTTTATA